TGTCACTTATTTACACTGTATATATTCTATAAATTAATAAATGACTTTGCTACCAAAAATGGTTGGTCTTGCCCCTTTCATAAATGCTAACTCATAACCCTTCCTCTTGGGGTGGAAAGAGCCTGGCTTGTTGTGTATTTGAGTCATTGGTCTTGCTGGAAAGATTACCAGCTATGGGCACCAAAATGGCCCCACAGTATGCCAACCTTTTTATAAGCCACTTGGAAGAAGAATTCCTCAAGGACTGCACCATCAAACCTTTGCTATATTTAAGATATATTGATGACATCATCATCATTTGGACTGAAAACTTGCAATCTCTGAGCTCCATCAGAAATTCAACAATCATCATCCCTCCATCCAACTATCTCTTGAATACTCCAGCACCAACATCTCACTTTTAGACATGATGATCAGTATCCAGAACAGTAAAATACAGACTATTATACAAGAAACCCACATATTTGCACAGAACCAGAAATCACCCTAAACACACCAAGAAAACTGATATACAGCCAAGCCCTCAGATACCACTGAATCTGCACTGAGGAGGACACCCAGGATTGCCACCTCACCAGTCTTAAAACGGTTTTCACCCAACAAAGATACTCCTCGAGAGAGAGAGACTGCACATTTGAAAGAACCACCCAAGTACCACGTGAAGAACTGCTGCAGTACAGAAGAAACGCCCCCTGAATTGCACACCGTTGGTTATGACGTATCACCCCTCCCTCAAACCCATATGGAAAATCCTCAAACAATTGCAACCCATACTAGAAAGAGACCTTCCCAGAACCCCCCATCCTATCCTTCAAACAAGCACTGAACCTCGCTAACCTCATCACCAGAAGCAAACTTCCTCAGGCCCAGAACATACCGAATGGATCCAGACTATGCCATGACAAGAAATGCAAAACCTGCCAACACATCTCCACCAACCCCCCAATTACTACACCCCACAACAGAGCCATCAGCATCCCAGATCTTACAGATGCACCTCCAGAAATATCTCATCTATATCTCATCTAATGCACCAAATGCCCTGATGGAAAATACGTAAGAGAGCCCAAACAACAACTGCGCACCAGAATGAACGCACACTGGAAATCTATCAAAGACAGGAATACCCAATTACCTGTGGGGGCACATTTCTCACAAGAAAACCACACTTTCTCTCCAATCTCTCAGTTCTAATCCTCAAAGGGAACTTACAAAACACTTTTAACAGATGAGCCTATGAATTTCACTTCATCAACCTCCTGGATACAAAAAATCATGGACTAAATATAGACTTTGGATTTATGACACGTAACCTGCTTGACATCTGACTCCCCACGTACCTCTCCACTATTTAACTGCTACATTCATCCCCCTTCTCTCCCCTGCCATCCCCACCCCCGAGCCTGTCTCACACCCACTGACTCCTCAGTCTACATTTTCACTGACTGCCTGTCTTGTCTGCAGACCAGCCCAGCCTCTGGCTTCTTTACTTTTCATTCCATCCAGGCAGAGCACACACCAACTGCAGAAACTTCCTCAGCATGGGGAAGGGTTTTTAAACCCAAAAGCTTACTAAGAATGTTTTTTTCCCCAACTATTTAAGTCAGTCTAATAAAAGATATCAGATGCACCCTAAGAACCTTGTCTACCTGCAAAGGTATCTTTTGTAATGTGGGTAATGTAGGTGTAGAGAGTGATATAGGAGTTGTTGCACAAAGAAATAAAGTTGTCATGTCATTTCACACAGGTTATTGAATACCTTTCTGGTGGTAAAGACTTTCTGTCTTTATGAAACCTATTTGAAGTGGTAACTTAGAGGTGAAAGAAGTCACCAGCATCTCATCAGCTGCTCCTTGAATCATGCCATTTTCTTCCCAAGGTCACGCTCTTAAGTGTAACAATGTAGGAGTGCCAGGGCTAAGTCCAGCTAATAGACTGCTGTCTTCTCACTTGTTTTAAAAGGGCTTTAGATGTTGTTTGTATACCACTGGTGAATTTAGCCTGATGCATTGTGTTGGGAATGTGAAAAAAAAGACTTGGTAATATCTCAGCCCAAAAGATTTAAAGAAAAAATATCCTTCCCACATCTAGACATAAAGAGGCTATTATCCACTGGAGCCTCCAAGTAATGCAATGTCACTTCTACCAAGCACTATCTCAGCAATTCTGTGACCAAATCATCCTAATCATTTCCAATTCCTCTTCACTTTTTTCCCCCCAGGTTCCCAAGCATAGTTTATTTTAAGCTCTTTAGGAAGTGAAACATATCCCACACCTCTATACCTCTACCTCTAGCTCTGCTAGTGACTATGTTGTTGTTGGAGTGAATCCAAGTTCCCATCTCAAGTCCCTCTTCTTGCATGTACTTGAGAGCTTCAGTGCCAAGAAGTCCTCTTGAGTGGTACTGAGGGTGTGTAGAACAAGAGTATAATTAGGTCACAGATTGGGTCAAATACTGAATAAAATTAGCTGTGCTTACTGGCAGTATTCATTTAAGACAGCAATTGGTGACTCATTTTTCTAACATTCCACTTCCTTAAGTTAGGTAAAGCCTCCTACGCACAGCATGCTGTGGAAGTGTTTGCATCAGTTTCCATGTTGCCCTTTCTAGAACAATGGGCTCATGAAGTAAAGCAGTACTTAGGGAGAGAAAAGATGGCAGAATCTGGCCTTTCTTGAATATTTGCAAGAACACTTTGTCACAGACACCAATTTTTCCCTTCTCAAAATGGTAATTACCAACAGGAGACATGGATCTTTCTAGATGTTAAATGAAAGAGTTTAATCTGCCTCCAAGCTCTTTTGTTTGAGCTAGACTGTGCAACCCTTGTGCTCATGAATCACTCTGCTGATGATAGCCATGGGGCCAGGAGTAAAATGCATTCCCATAGGGTAATTCTTCCATCAAAGCCTTTTAAATACAAATGCCAAGTGCTGAAAGAAAAGTAAGAGAGACCTTTATTTTTATGTCAAACACAACAGTGGCACAAGTGTTTGTCAACAAGAAAATCCACATTTTTCAGAGGCAAGCAGAATTCAGGGGAAGTACTTCAACAACACTTCAATAAAGAAAATAGATTCCCAATTTACATTAGTCATGACGCGTATGAAATCCTTACCAGGAAACTCTCAATCTCACTGAGCAGATTCAGAAGATCGTCCATGGGAGATGCATACCTTGATAGGCAGAACTCACGATAATGTCAAAGAAGAAATAAAAGGCAAAAGAATTTAATTTATCCATTCTTGGAGGCTTTTTGTGAAGTCAGATGCTCTTTGAACAACTCCTAGAAACAAGCTGTAAAACATCCTCTGATTTCAATGGTGCAGAATCAATGTTCTCCTTACCAGAAGTTCAGTGAGCTGGCAAACAAACAAGACACCTCTATCTTCTTTTCTCCAGAAATGTGTCAGGTCGTCTTTCCAGATAAGTAGCATTTCAAATGATCTGTAATCTCTGTATTCTGTTCACTTTTAAAAAAACACTCCCTATCCTTCTCTGAATGATCTGGGATTTATTTGTGTAACACATTCAGTCGCTCATCCTCTTCAGTGCTGTTATTTTTCATTTATGACTTAAATGATAAATCACACTCAGGGTAATCCCAACCATTTATGCAGTGAGATGCTTCATGTTTCATTTTCTTCACATAATAAAAGCAGCAGTCCACATGATGTCAGCGACAATACTTTAGGACTTTTAAACCTGAGACAGCCAGCTTCATCTATAAAAAATGTGTGAAACTGCATATCTAATTTGTATGCATGGTTACTGCAATTGGGTATGCCAGTCAGTTGTGCCTAACTAATAGGGTATTTAACTAGCTATATTTGCATCCAGATTCTCAGTTTGAATGAGGAATTATGTAAGTAGCAGGCTTATCTGGTTCTGAAAATCCAGGTTTAGCATTCACCATCTCAATTTGGATTCTGGGTGTTCCAAGTGGCATCACTCCATTCATCTCCATTGTACATTAATCCATGTATCCAGTGAGCCACTTTTGTTATATTCAGTTTTCATTATAATTTTGGATCTGTCTTTTAGTTACTGGCCTTCAGATAGACTATGCAGCTTGCCCTGAAGTCCCAGAAAACATTTAGAGTTTTTCCACTGACCATTTTTCATCAGGGGTTGTTGAAGTGTGTCTTATCCCACTAACACAATTTACATTTCTAGAAATATAAATCTTGGGGATGACAACATTTTTAGTTTATTCTCTCTATAATAAACTATATAACAAACCAACTGTCAGGCATGTTTCCCTTCTGTAACATCAGTGATGTTATTTTAACTCACCTTAAAAGTTTTTGGTTTAACGTGTATAAAAGCTTGAATATCATGCAAAATTTGTGTTGCAATATGGGATCCAAACTTTCATAATTCCAATATTTGAATGGCATCCCTGATGTTTTAAATTTGATAGAAAGAAGCTAAATTATCTTGTTCTACAGCGAAACATCCTCTGATATCAACAGAAACAGAAAAGATAGCAAATTATGCAAACATAATATGGAGCTTATGCATACCCATAAATATATAATATCGAAATGAAACATTTTGCTGATTTTTTTTTTCTTGGCAGTTCTTTAGTTTCTCAATATATTGATCGGTGAAAGAAAGTTGGTGGCTTCAGTTGTTTTCCTGTTTGGAAGAGAGATTCACATTTTCTCTGGTTCCACATTTTTCTGGGTGTTGCATCCATTTGGTAGTGAAAACAAAGCAGCAGTTTTATGAGATAGAAAACTATCATTTAATGGAGAAGTCCTTGCAAGGAAAAATTAGGTAAGCGCTTAGGATTCAGGTATGGAACATTTCTACGGTGGGGGGGGGATAGTGAGGGATCCTCATAGGGAGCACATACCCACATGAAGTGAACAGCTGAACATAGAGACCTTTAAAATCATGCTTCCTATTGCTCCTAACATATCTTCAGTGTTGCAAGTTGCAGACCCTATAGTATGTTGTACACATTTTCGACTAGCAAACGGTGTGTGGAGTGTTACATTTGCCTTTGGTAAGTCATTGACTTTGAAGTGTTGGACTTCTGCAACAGAGAAGTGGCCTCCTGAAATTCCTGACTTACAAAATAGTAACAAATGGCATCCAAGCAGCAGTTGGTGTTTGCTGTAAGTGAGGCCAGGTGTACAAAGTTGTTAACATTTGATCTTACAGAGCACACAGCGTTGGTGTAGTTCACTATAAACTGCACGATGTGCCCGGTATAAACAGGGAAAAAGCATGCCAAAAACACGATCATGTTTGCAGAAATAATGTAGATTGCTTTCTGGATTAACTTTTCTTCATGTGCAGTTGTATTCCTCTTCCTCACAAGTTTCTTAATGACTTGTACGGAACAAAAACTCAAGATTATTAATGGTATAAAAAACCCCAAAAGACAAGCGAGTAAAGTCTCTCGGGAGGGTTTCCCGGAAGGCTCAAAGCAAATTCCAGGTTGTTCTCGATTCTCCCATGCTTTAGTTATGCCAACAAGGCATATGATTAGTATCCAGAGACATGCAGAGATAGTAGCTGCCTTGAATGGAGACTTCAGTCCCTTTGCTTTTAGGGGGTATTTTACTGTAATGTATCGATCAATTGCCATGATAGTGATAATATAAATGCTCATTAATCGGTTTATAAAATATGCTGACTCTACAATCAAACACCATGTATCCACTTGTTGATGATTATAGCTGAAGACCATTTTGAAAGGCAAAGTAAAGAGCAGGCAGCCATCAGCCATGACTAAGTTGGTCATGTACACTCTGGTTTCTGTCCATCTGTTCATTTTGTAGCAGAATATCCACAAAGCCAATCCATTCAATGTAGTTCCAACAAAGAAAACTGGGATATAAACAAGGAGTTGAATGAGATGAAAACTGTTATGAACGGTGATGTTGCAGCTGATGTTATGTTCTAGGTACATGATGGAGCCCAGTTCCTGCAAAAGTACATTTCAGATTAGAAATTTCAAATAGTGCAAAGTCATAGCAATTCATTTATTTTTAAGGCTTCTGGACTATGCATAATAACCATACAGGAAATTATAATATGAGTCTTTGCCCTGAGGAGTTTAATATTAAAATTGGTATTTACAGTCTAAAAATTCATTGTTCTAATCATGCACTTAAATACTCACCTGTCTTTTCCCTATGCTTTCTTTCATGGTCTTTCATTAGTAGTAATATGTGTATTTTTTATTATTTATTAATTTACATAGAGTACTCCCTAGAAGACCCAATCAGAGATTAGGGTCCTGTTTTGCTAAATAGCACATTCACACATTAACCTCCCCCTGCAAAAAAAAAACAACCCCAAACTTTTCTTTTTATGGGGTGGGACTTGGCCAGGATCATAACATTCCATTTTTTAATCAGATGTTTCAGTCTAAACTATGAGTAGCTGGTTTCTGGACTGTCCCTGTCCCCCTGCGGAAATACCAGTAGGACAGGACTATAATGAAATAAAAGCTCTGTTGTGATTTTCTAGTAAGGGAGCGGTGTTCACCCTAGAGCTGGGGGTAGTGGTTCTATACAAAAACCCCATGGTTGCCCAAGTGGCCAGGATAATCTCTACTGGGTGCATCTACATGGGACACTTTACTGCACAGTAAACTAATCTCCTGAGCAGTAGTGTCACTGTCTACACAGGTGGGCATTTTCTGCTCAGTAAGCCTCATGAAAAATAATAGCTCATGTAGACATGTCCCCTGAGTACAGTTTAAGGGCTCCACTCCTTATATACCTCATAGGTAGCCACTGTAGTGATATTTCCAGGGAATCCTAAAATAACCTCAAGTATTGAGAACCTCTTTTACCAGAGTCTCGCCAAACACAAAAATGGAGCATGCAAAACTCAACACAGCCCAGCTTTGCGCTGTGTTCCACCACATATTGTGGATGCAGAAAAAATGCACAAACCTTTACCTAATCTTGTTTACAGCCTAAGAGAAGTAAACATGGATAATAATGAAAGCCCAACCAAAAGCAGGTTGACATGAAACCCAAAGCATTCCCTCTAAACATATAAAAAAGAACTCTTTGTGCATCATCAGAACACTGTTGCTGTATGATGCTGGCAAACTCAATCTTTCAGAATGAATAGGCTTCAAATAAAGAAGTATTTCTATTTATTCACATGTAGCTATTTCCCACTAGCCTGAAAAATGGGGAAAGTCCACTGCAGGACAAAGCTAGATTACAGGGATAGATAAAGAATAATGAGAGAGCATTACCTGCTTGCTTGCTATTCGTGCTATGTTTAAGACTCTGCAAGAAATGTTCTAGTTCAATGAGGAGTTGACGCAAAATGTTGTTAGCCGTGATGTTTCTTTGCATGTTTTCCACTACTGTCATGTGGTTAGTAGTTTGCAAGGTTAATAACAGGAACACCAACATCAAAGAACCTCACTATTTTTAACACATCTATCTTTGACAGGTTTCTCTTTGTATGTTGAACTTTCTTCCTTCCCAGATGCTTCTATTTGTACTAACCTCAATATTTTAACTTTCATTATTTAACTCTAATTATACTTGAGCGCAGAGTGGAAATCTTCTACAAGATGAAACTAAAGAATAGATTGTAGTGTTGTAGTTACATTTTTGATGCAGTTACTCCACTCTTTTGCATTTTTCCCCTCCAGACAGCATATATGTATAGATTATTGCATACCCAGCCTTTAAGGACAGGTCATATTCAGTTGTGCATGTTTCAAACAAGATGTGAAAGGAAGAACACTTTGTGTTTTCACCACCCACAAAACCCAAGGAAGAACCAGAGCCAGTATGATTTATTGTTTGCAGGTGGTTTAGGGGCTTTTGATCTTTTAAAATTTGGTTTCAATCTGTGGTGCAATCAACTCAATTTTTCTAAATTCCCTGTAAACCTCTGAGATCATCTTTGGTCAGAGATGCCAAACCAGAGTATTCTGAAAATAAAATAACCCCCTGGAACCTGCAGCTGCCCTGTGAAATGGATGGTCCTGTCAAATTCACTGCTGCCAGAATGTCGGGTTCACTCAACGGCTGAGGCTCTCAAATCTCTTCCTCCTGGGCAGGTCTATCATGCAGACTGTTTCTGAACCACAGGCCCTCAAAGCCTTTCTTCTGAGGCTCTGACTGCTCTTGCTGACTGCTCTGGCTCCCAGTGAGATTACAAGGCTTCCAGACACCCTGCTGTGGAGATGATCGAGTTAAGCCCCAGTTACAGCTGGGACTTCCCAGGGCTTCCAGGCTCCCAGCTTGATGGCAGAGAGTCTGGAAGTATAGGACTGGTTGGCTGTCCTGGTGGTGAAATGCCCTCCAGAGGAGGTGCAATTGCCTACCCTCGAAATATTCAAGAGGAGACTGGACAGTCACCTTGCTGGGGTCACCTGACCCCAGTTGTCTTTCCTGCCTGGTGCAGGGGGCTGGACCTGACGATCTTCTGAGGTCCCTTCCAGCCTTATGATCTATGAATCTTGGCAGATCTGCCCCAAAGCTGTGGATGCCATGCCTCTAAGCTCTGCAGCCCTGAAAAGATCTGTCCAGTGGCCTGTCCTACCAGGGGGAACCCCCGGATTCTGGTGTCTGTGGCTCCAGGGCAGACCCACCAGACAGACTGTCAAAAGGCCACAGGTTCAGAATCCCTGACTGGGGCAGATCTGGCAGGGCTCAGAAATGTTTTGTTGAACCAAAGATGTTTCAAATGACAGTTTGCAGATTCTCATGAATCAGCATTTTCCAATTAAAATGAACTTTACCAAAGAATTTCCAGCTACATCTGTCTATTCATACGTAGTCGAGTTAATGAAGAAGTGCCATATGTTTCATAGAAATCTGTTTTATTTTGTGATGGAAAATGAAACTGAATGTTTTGGGCGGTTTGGTTTAAAAAATAATCAAGTGCCTGTAATAATCTTTTTAGTTTTGAGAAACAAAATACCTCTTTTCTTACTGGTAAAAACTTTGACAAAATTGACGATTTTCTTAGTTTGGTCTATAAGCCTTTTTGTCACTTAAAAAAAATATTTCAATGAATAAATGTGGACCCTTTGGTGAGTACCAGTCAGCCTGAGTCAGACTGTGGTCAGTGAACAATCAACAGCAAAGTGGGGACTCTCAGTAGAGCTTGGGTATGGCTGCTGTGAGCAGTAGCTCCAGTATTTCATAGATTTCATAGACATTAGGGCTGGAAGGGACCTCGGAAAATCATTGAGTCCAGCCCCCTGGCCAAAGGGGAGGAAGTCAGCAGGGGTCCTAGGATCCCAGCAAGATAGACATCCAAATGTCTCTTGAAGGCATTCAAGGCAGGTGCTTGAACTACCTCCAGCAGCAGTCTATTCCAAACCTTGCGGGCTCAGACAGTAAAGAAGTTCTTCCTTATGTCCAGCCTGAAACAGTCACAGAGGAATTTGTGACCATTTGATCTTGTCATCCTTTGGGGCACTCTGGTGAACAGACGTTCCCCCAGATCCTGATGAGCACCCCTGATAAACTTATAGGTGGCCACCAGATCACCCCTGAGCCTGCACTTTTCTAGGCCCATGGCTCTCAGCCTCTCATCAAAAGGTCAGTTTTCCTGACCTCTTATCATGCACATGGCTCTCCTCTGGACTCTCTCAAGCTTCTTCATGTCCTTTTTGAATTGTGGGGCCCAAAACTGGACGCAGTACTCCAGCTGTGACCTCACCAAGGCCTAGTACAACTGGAGAATGACGTCCCGGGATTTGCTTGAGAAGTATCCATGGATGCAAGCCAGCATTTTGCTTGCTTTACTAGCTGCAGCATCACATTGAAGGCTTATGTTCATCTTGTGGTCAATCATGACCCCCAAATCCCTTTCATCTGAAGTGCTAGCCAGTATAGTACTGCCAAGCCTATAAGCATGATGCAGGTTTTTCCTCCCAAGGTGGAGAACCTTGCATTTTTTGGTGTTAAACATCATCAGGTTCTCATCTGCCCATTTGCTGAGCCTGTCAAGGTCAGCCTGGATTGCCTCCCTGTCCTCAGGTGTGAATGCTTTACCTTACAGTTTGGTATCATTGGTGAACTTGGTCAGTCCGCTTCTGACTCCAATGTCCACATCATTAATGAAGATGTTGAAAAATATAGGTCCAAGGACAGAGCCTTTAGGGACCCCACTGGTCACAGGGCACCATGATGATTGACTTCTGTCAACCACCACCCTCTGGGTCTGGCCACGGGGCCAATTCCCCAGCTAGTGGACCGTGGTGGACCCAAGGCTACAGTTGGCCAGTTTTGCCAAGAGGTGATCATGGGATACCAGATAGAAGGCTTTTTTGAAGTCAAGATATATGACATCAATCTCCTCTCCCTTGTCCAGGTGATAGGTCACCTGGTCATACAAGGAAATAAGATTGGTCAAGCAAGACCTACCCGCAACAAACTTGTGCTGGCTAGCCCTCAGGATGTTGCCGTTGTCCAGTCTGTTAAGAATGGCCTCTTTAATAATCTTTTCTAAGACCTTGCCCAGGATAGAGGTCAGGCTGATAAGCCTGTAGTTTGCCGGATCCGCTTTCTTCCCTTTCTTGAAGATAGGCACCACATTGGCCTTCTTCCAACCTTCAGATACTTCACCAGGGTGCCAGGAGTTCTCGAAGATCCATGCCAGGGGCTGGGCTATGATGCTAGCCAGCTCCTTGAGTGCCCTGGGGTGGAAGGGGTCAGGGGCAGCTGACTTGAAGGTATCCAGCCTCTCAAGATGTTCCTTCAGAAGGTCAGTGTTGATGGAGGGTAAGGAATCACCCTCACCCAGGCCTTCCTGTCCTGTAATGGACAGGGTGAAATGGGCAGTTCCCTTGGGACTGGTGAAAGACCGATGCAAAGTACCCATTTAGCAAGGTGGCTTTTTCATGGGCGTCGGTTGTCAGTTATCCCATCTGGTTTAGCAGGGGTCCAATACTGCCCTTGCTTTTCCCCTGGCTCC